TAAGCTAAAGAGCACAGGGACAGAGCCCAAGCCCAGAGTTCAAGCCCTGACCTACAAAAACAAAACAAAACAAAACAGCTGGAAGTAGAGCCTTGGCCTCAAGCAGACAAAGCTACAGGATGGTACCAAGGCCCTGAGTTGAAGCTCTAGTACCACAAATAAACAAAAACAAAATAAAAGACAATCAATCTAGGTACTAATTTCTTTTATCTTCTTCCAAGTGCATTATTTTTTCAGTGCAGGGGATAAACTTTCCCATGCTCTGCAAGGACTCTGAATTACTCCTAGCTCTATAATTGTTTTTTTTTTTTTTTTGAGCCAGTCCTGGGGCTTGAACTCAAGGCCTAGACACTGTCCTTGAGCTTCTTTTGCTCAAGGCTAGTACTCTACCACTTGAGCTACAGCACTAGGACTAGCTTTTTCTGTTTATGTGGTACTGAGGAATCGAACCCAGGGCTTCGTGCATGCTAGGCAAGCACTCTCCACTAAGTCACATTGCCAGCCCATACAACTGTATTTTTAAATAAGAATTTGCAATGTTAAGCTGTAGTTACCACTAACCCACCTCAAAATCTCTGCTTTTAACAACAAATATATATTTCTTAGCTAAACACTGGTGGCTCACTTCTATAATCCTAGTTACTCAGGAGGCTGAGATTTGAGGATCATGGTTCAAAGCCACCCCAGGCCAAAAAGTATATATTTCTTGTTCATGTTACAGGCCTGTAATAGACTTCCAAGAGTTAGCTTTATCTCTCTTCTACCTGTTGTCTTCATTAGAGAATACAGGCTGGCAGAGGGAAAAGAGTAACAGCAGAATCCTATTATGGTTCTTAAACTTCTCCTCAGAAGTTCCACTCATATGCACCTACCATGCATATAAAGCATGCAGTAATTTGATAAGACTCTGTAAAATCCTCTTTTTTTTGGGGGGGGTCCGGTCGTGGGGCCTGAACTCTGGGCCTGGGCGCTGTCCCTCAGCTCTTCAGCTCAAGGCTAGAGCTCTACCACTTGAGCCACAGCGCCACTTCTGGCTTTTTGCTTATGTGGTGCTGAGGAATCGAACCCAGGTCCTGGAGCATGCAAGGCAAGTGCTCTACCCCTGAGCCACCTTCCCAGCCCTGTAAAATCCTCTTAACTGGGTACCAGTTGCTCATGCCTACAGTCCTAGCTACTCAGAGACCAAGATCTGTAGTCCTGTCTCCCAGCCCAGACAGAAAAATCCAAGAGACTCTTATCCTCAATTAACCACCAAAAAGTCAGAAGTGGATGTGTAGCTCAAGGGTAGACTGCCAGCATCAAACAGAAAAAGCTAAGCAAGAGCTAGAGACCCTGAATTCAAGCCCCACTACTAGCACACACACACACAGACACACATAAAGAGAGAATGAGTGACACATTTACAGTAAAAATCATTCTTTCTTTTTCTCTTCCCTTCTCTTCCCTTTTCTTCTCTTCTTTCTCTTCTCTTCCTCTCTCTCCTCTCTCTCTCTCTCTCTGTCTCCCTGTCTCTGTCTGGCTCTCTGTCTCTCTCTGGCTCTGTCTCTCTGTCTCTGTCTCTCTCTCTCTGCTGGTACTGAGGCTTGAACTGGGAGCTATCTCTTAGTTTTTCACCCAAGGCTGGTGCTCTACCACTTGAACTGCAGCTCTGCTTCCAGCATTTTCACGGCTAATTGGAGATAAGAGTCTCATGGACTTTTCTGCCCAGGCTGGCTTTGAATGGGGATCCTCAGATCTCAGCCTCCTAAATAGCTAAGATTGTAAGTATGAGCCACCAGTGCCTGGCTTCTGTTTTTCTTGTTATGTTCAATCCGGCAGCTGACCTCATTTCCCTTTCTCTGATTTGCTCAGTATCTTTATAGCCAAGTAGACAAGACTGGAGCAGAATCTACCACCATCCATTTCTAAGAGAATAGAAGACAGAGTCCCCTGGTCTGTTTGAATGCCCTCAGGGTAATTTGTCTAGTAATTAGGAGCAAAGTCTCTGGATTAGATAGTCTAGATTTCACATCCCAGCTCTTCTTTCCTTTTTGGCAGTACTGGGGTTTGAACTTAGAGCCTTGTACTTGCTAGGCAAATACTTGAGCCTTGCTCCCTGCATATAACTCCCCTTCTTATTAGCTTGTGTGAACCTTAGCAAGCCACTTAACATCACTCAACCTTGCTTTATTATCAACCAAAGGCATCCAGGACAATAAAAGTAGATAATGTACATATGTATCTATTCACCTATCTTCATGTATATTCACATATAGAAACATATATAAATATATATAAACACACACATACACACTTACACCACAGTGTCCAGAATATAATGTGCCTAACAAATGGTACTAAAATTGGAGTTTTAAATCCCAGACTCAAACTCTATATTTTCTACATGTCATGTCTGCCCATTCACTCCAACATGCCAAACCAAGAGTTAAATATTAGTCTGGCTCATGTCTATAATTTTAGCTACTCAAAAATCTGAAACCTGGAAGACTACAGTTTGAGGCCAGTCAAAGCAGAAAGTTCATTAGACTCCATCTCTAAAATAACTAGCAAAAAGCCAGGCTGGAGGTATGGCTGAAGGGGCAGAATGCAAGCCAAGCAAGCAAGCTTAGCAAGTTTGAGGCACTAAATATAGTACCTAGGGAGTAGGGGGAAGAATTAAATATTGGCAGAAAAAGGAGCACATGCTTCTACTGTAAGAAGTAAGCACTTCAGCCTATTTTCAGCATCTTTAGCTATAGACATGATCTTTTTTTTTGAAATAAAAAAATAACTAGGCTAATGGTTGGGAAGTCTGCATAGTTAACAGTCCCAGCCACAGGTGTAGCCTAATTGGTCATGATCTCATTACTCTGGGAGAAGTTTTTATCATTATTATCACTGGATGGGAGCAACAAGGTCATCAGGTTAAGCAAGTCAATGTTGCCTGGCTTATAGTTTGTCCTGAGGAGGTTCTGCTGTCCTCCCTTGGGGGCAGTTTCCTCATCTCTGGGTATAAAGATTGGGCTGGGAAGGTGGCTTAGTGGTAGAGTGCTTGCCTTGCATGCATGAGGCCCTGGGTTCGATTCCTCAACACCACATAAATAGAAAAAGCCAGACTTGGTGCTGTGGCTCAAGTGGTAGAGCGCTAGCCTTGAGCTAAAGAGCTGAGGGACAGCACCCAGGCCCAGAGTTTAAGCCCTACAACCAACAAAAACAACAACAACAACAAAAAGATATTAGAAGATGGGAGTGGGTGGCTCACGCATGTAATCCTAGCTACTTAGGAGGTTGGGATCTGAGGGTCGAGGTTCAAAGCCAGCCCAGGCAGGAAAGTCCGTGAAACTCTTATCTCCAATAAACCACCAGAAAACCGGAAGTGCACTGTAGCTCAAGTGGTAGAGTGCTGGCCTTGAGCTGGAGAGCTGAGGGACAGCGCTCAGGCCCAGAGGTCAAGCCCCATGACCAAAAAAAAAAAAAAAAGATATTAGAGATAAGTCCTGTCCTGTCCATCCTAGATTTCAAGGAAGTAGCAAGATGAAGGAATGGCTTAGAACCAAGACAGATACAAAAATGGAGTCAAGAATGCCATGCATTTCTTTCTTTCAGTTGATTTGTAGGCCCAAGTAAGGAGTCAGTGCTTTTTAGCAAAAGCATTTCATGTGTGTGTGTGTGTGTGTGTGTGTGTGTGGGTGTGGGTGTGGGTGTGGGTGTGGGTGGGTGTGGGTGTGTGTGTTCTGGTACTGAGGGTTGAACTCTGTGTCCCATGCTCTCACTCAGCTTTTTATTGTGTGTGTCTGTGTGCTGGTCCTGGGACTTGAATTTAGGGCGTAGGAATTGTCCCTGAGCTGAGCCACAGCTCCACTTCTGGCTTTTCTGGGGGGAGGAGTTAATTGGAGGTCGATTTTCACTGACTTTCCTGCCCAGGCTAACCTTGAACTGTGATGATCAAATCTCAGCCTCCTAAGTAGCTATGATTACAGGCATGAGCCTCCAGTGCCCTCAGCAAAAGCATTTTAAACTTTTTTTTTTTTTTTTGCCATTCCTGGGGCTTGAACTCAGAGCCTAGACACTGTCCCTGAGCTTCTTTTTTTGTTGTTGGGGGGGGGGGATTGAACTCTGGGCCTGGGTGCTGTCCCTGATCTCTTCAACTCAAGGCCAGTGCTCTACCTCTTGAGCTACAGTGCCATTTGCAGTTTTCTAGTGGTTAACTGGAGATATGAGTCTCACAGACTTTTCTGCCTTGGCTGGCTTTGAACTGCGATCCTCAGATCTCAGCCTCCTGAGTAGCTAGGATTACAGGCGTGAGCCACTGGTGCCTACCTCCTGAGCTTCTTTTGTTCAAGGCTAGCACTGTACCTACCACTTGAGCCACAGTGCCACTTCTGGCTTTTTCTGTTTATGTGGTACTGAGGAATCGAACCCAGGGCTTCATATGCTAGGCAAGCACTCAACCATCAAGCCACATTCCCAGCTCTAAACTTTATTTTGTCGGTCGTGGGGCTTGAACTCTGGGCCTGGGCACTGTCCCTGAGCTCTTCAGCTCAAGGCTAGCACTCTGCCACTTGAGCCACAGCACCACTTCCGGTTTTCTGAGTGATTTATTGGAGAGAAGAGTCTCACAGACTTTTATGCCTGGGCTGGCTTTGAACCTCGATCCTCATATCTCAGCCTCCTGAGTAGCTAGGATTATAGGCTTGAGCCATTGGTGCCTTACTCCTAAACTTTTTTTTCAAAGTACATTATAAACTTTTTAAAAAAGCAAAAGCATTTTAAGTACCTGTTACAGTACCTCATCAATTTATAGTCTCATCAATTTATTCTTCAGGCACAAACTGTACATATATGCCTCTGTATTTTTTGTTATCATTTCTGCACAGCTTGCAGCTAATTAGCTAGCAAGGCTGTGCTTTGTCTTTGTTCCATGGTGCTTTGAGGTCTGACCCAGCAGCCTGAGCCCCTCAAGCTGCTGCCTCACCCTGGTCCTTAGCATTTTGGTATTCCTCCTTCCTTTCTTTTTCTAGGTGACTATGAGTTGGATGTCTCTCCCTATGATGACACAGTGACCGGCAAGCCCTGGAAGATGAATCTCAGCAAGCTGAAAATGCTCAAACCAGGTGTGGAGGGCAAGCCTCGGCTGGGGAATGGGAGGCTGGGCCTGGGCTCTGAGGGAAGGGCTGTTGAGACGCACAAGCTGGTGTGTTTATGAAAGAATTTCTATTCTGGGGGCTGGGAAGGTGGCTCACTGGTAGAGCGCTTGCCTTGCATGCATGAGGCCCTGGGTTCGATTCCTCAGCACCACATAAGAAAGAAAAAAGCCAGAAGTGGCGCTGTGGCTCAAGTGGTAGAGCGCTAGCCTTGAGCTGAAGAGCTGAGGGACAGCGCCCAGGCCCAGAGTT